TATAAATAATCATAAGAGAATCCGGCTAGTAAAGACAAAACAAAGTGTGTCGTCTTACAAAAAACACTTCCAAAACACAAGCAACCGCAAACAAAGGTGCATCAAAGACATCATCAAAACATATACATACTACATATAGGGTCCCCTACCCGCACTCCACCAAACCAAAAGTTTCGGCTATATAGATGGACGCCGTGTGTGTATTCCTCATTATATATAAATGCCTCAAATACACTCGAAGATCCATTATAGAATGTGTTTTTTTATGCGCATATGCCTCATAAATATTGTGGGAATTACTTGGCCAACGTATGGGGCCAGAGTTGCCACCACTTATTTTGGGAGAGGCAGAAGCGAAGAGAGAGCGAGATTGGATCGCGTATACTTATAGATCCCCAGCGATATATGACTGCTGAGGATAGCTGGTCATTAGTATTAAATCGGTCGAGGAACGTCCAGCACGGCGCGCGGTATCCGTTAAATACTAAATAATTCGTAAACCTCAGAATCTAAAATACATATAGAAAATGGCTGAGCAAAAGAAGGCCCCGCTGCTTAAGAAGGAGGAGGACTACGTCAAGGCCCTCGAAGGGTGAGTTTTAAAGGATCACCCGTGCAGGAGCTTCCAGGATCTAAGGAGCTTGGTTCTCTCGACAGCTTCATTAACCCCGAAACCGATCAGGTGGTCCTGCTGCTGGATTACGATGGCACTCTGGCCCCCCTCACCGAGGAGCTCTCCGTAATGCCCAAGGATACCGAGATCAACATCAAGAAACTGGCCGCCAACGAGAAGATCTTCATGTGCGTCTTCTCTGGTCGCGAACTGAGCGAGATCAAGAACCACCTCAAGTTCCCCAATGTGACCTATGCCGGCAACCACGGTCTGGAGGTCGAATATCCTTCCGGCAAGAAGTTCAAGATCGAAATGCCCGAGGAATTGCTCGAGAAGCACAACAAACTGGTCGCTGAGCTTAAGGAAAAGGTGAGATATGTTTATTTTCATTAAGAAAATTGTAGAAAAATTAGGGATATTCGTTTTTAAAGTGAAAATATCACACACAAATTTCTCCACCTCCTGAAATAAAATAGGAACATTAAAATATCATTGTTGCAAGTATTCGTAAAATATTTGAAATCACTAATAATCCCATCAAATTAGTAAGCATACACAAGTTTATAGACCAATAAAAATAATATTTCCAAGTCTATTTGAGATACATTTAGTTGTAAAAAATGTCTTAACAGTTGAAAAGTTTTAAAAAAATATAAATGTAAAGCAGGCCTGCAGATTTTTTAGGTACAAATATAAACGAAAGTAGATAGTAGTAGCAGTAGATAGTGATAGTTATTATACTTTATATATACCTTATTAAAATGTTATAAATTTGAAAAGATCACTATTTTACACATATTCAAACAGATTTAATAAGCTTGATTGTCTCTTCCGTAGGTCGTGTTGTCCGGTGCCTGGGTGGAGGACAAGAAGATCTCCGTGACCTATCACTACAAGGGCGTCACCGACAAGCTGAAGGCCAAGCTGATCGCAGACGCCAAGGCCTTGATCCAGGCCCATGGATTCCAGCTTATCGAGACCCCCTACGCCTTGGAGGGCAAGCCCCGCGTGAACTGGGACAAAGGTTAGTTGGACCCGATCCTCCAAAGGGGCTATTAATACACCCGTCATCGTTAAACAATTTGCCAACTGTTGCCATCCATTTGCAAACTGTCCCCATGGCATTCCTTTTAGCTTTCCGCACTTCGGCACCTGCTCGAAACAATTCGATTTTTGACTCGACGGTTCGATGATTTAATTATTGCTAAAATTTCTCTATTTTCTCTATATCCCAATGGGGACCCAACGTGGGCGTCTTTCACAAAAAATATATTCTGGGAAAAATTTCACAAACACACACCACACCGCTCAAAATTTTACTCACAAAAATCAGACAAAATTAAAACGTCTCAAAGAAAGATATATATACAAGGCGGCGCATATAAAAAAAATGCTTCGGCAGACAAAACATCCCGCAGCCAACGCCAACTGATGTCAAAAGCGCGCCTAAAACTATATATACTGTCGCCTTATATATAGTCAGTCACTCGCCCGATTCCTTATGATAAATTAACAAATCTGTGTAATTTCTCATAGACCCAAGATTTCGCTTTCGTTTTTAAGATTGGTCATCACTTGTTTTCGCTACGAGTCACAATATTTGAGGAAAGTTTTCTGTTCCACCTGAAAAACAGACTTTTCAGTTTGGCGGGGGTGTTTGTAATTTTAGATTTTCTAAAGATGAATGAAGCCAAAATGAAGCGAAACCAATTTAATTTGATGACGTTTAGAACTAACGATGCGTAGTTTTATAGAGGAAAAAACCTATAGTTTTTAAGTTTGAATAGTTTATATTTCATGTTATACCTGAAGACATACCAATATTAGGTATTAGGTATTAGGTATACGGCCTAAAATTTGAATTGACGGTAATTCAAGTATGGAAGTCTCAAAAAAATCTTTAAAGTTTAAGGAAAATTTACCAATTGTGACACATATTTGTACTTCAAAAATATGGACAAAAGTTGGATAGATCAGTGAAATAGTATAATTTTCACTATTTTGTTTGGCTACATTACATGCTACATTTTTAATAACCAAATATTCTCTTGAAATTATTTCTTTCGTATTACTGAGGCCATTGAAAATTTTACTATCAAAATACAAATGTATTCCAATCTTTGATCTCCGTTAATCCCAGCAAATAAACTATAAATGTTTTCGCATTTCCCGAATTCTTGAAAAGATATCTATAAAAGATGTGTACCCCTTTTTAAGAGATTTATGAAAGCCACTTGTCACCCCTGTCCTCTATAAAACAGCAAATCCATTCCCATCCAAATTGTCGCTCAGGCCAATGAGCCGTGGCGACCAAATACATGGAACATATTTAAACAGATATATTCATGTATGAAATGCGTGAAAATTAAAAATTAATTATGATGGTGTACGCCTCCAAAGGCAATAAATTTATAGGGGCCAGAACAAAATTATTGCAAAAAAGTAAAAAGCCGACAGAAATTCGAAAACGTTGTTGTGATACATGTTTGTGAAAAATTAAATTCTCGACAGGCGCATACAAAAGAGAAGAAGAATTGTTGGTGCCGTCTGAAAAATAAGAGAAAACTGCAGTATGGGGCGGAGGAGGTGGGAAATTTGTGAATAGACTGCGTCACCAATTACACAAAAATGTGGCGTTAAACGCAAGAAAGCTATACAATTAAAATAATAAGCGAAGGAGATTAATGTTCTATTAAGTTGATGTACAAATGTAATGATTTTACTGCATACCAAAAGACCGGCTAAGTGATTCGATTTCATATATTCAAACACTCACTTACTTGGCAAACCAAATTACGAAACGAAAAAAAAACGAAATCTAGAGAAGATCCGCCCACGTAGACACCTAAAAATAATTCAGAGATGAGGAGGAAAAATTCGGTTCTGTTTCTTGGTGCTGCATGCGATTTATATGATCTAAGATGTGTGCCGAGAAGAATTTTAGACATTTGAAAATATTGTTCTCGCTTGTTTATTGAGCGATTTTGGATGAGTTCCAGCAGTGCATAGTTATTTGTATAGATTCCACATGGCTTCCACAAGAAATAGAGCATTCTTCAACCGCAGGTTGCATTTATTGCGAAACGCAATATTTTAAGATAAATTCCAGTTTGAAAAAAAATATTTTCGATTCCCCTACTAATTACTCGAAGAAATTAAAATAGAAATGTAGTCAATAGAGGTAAATAATGGGCTATAATTGTTTGTTAGCATTTCCACATGATCAGCTCTACCTCCAATTTGTATTAATGGATTTTATAAATAGTCAGCCATTAACTGTATTACCTAATAAAATAAACAAATATCGGTTCAAAAATAAGTAAATATACATGTTTTCAACGAATTCGTTGCATAATGATATCTATTCTATTTGCACTGGAATTTGGAGATAGTAATTCTACAAATTTACACCCACCTCCCTATTTTTAAGAGATAAACTGACCTCACACATTTTTTAAATCAAATAAACAAATTCCCATTTACCTTTTCAGGTGAGGGCGCCAAGATGATCCTGGAGAAGCAGTTCGACGCCGACTGGGCCAAGAACCTGAAGATCGTCTACGTGGGTGATGATACCACCGATGAGGATGCCATCAAGGTGCTGCACGGCATCGGCAAGACCTTCCGTGTCTCCGAGCTGCCCACGCTGAAGACCTATGCCAACTACCAGATCAAGACCGTCGAGGAAGTTGGATACCTCCTGAAAGCCGTGCAGGCCTACTACGAGAAGAAGAAGAAGGCCTAAGCGCTTCCCCAGAGGATATTAAGCCTAAGCTAAATTCCACGCACACTCACATTAAACACACATCATAGTTTCACCTAGACGGGAAGGATTCGCCTAGTTGAGTTACAAAAACACAATACTTCTTGACTTGATAAGATAATCTCTCTCGAAACCTTTTTTGTGTCTTTGATTTTGCCAAATAAAACATTTTTCATAACTTAAGTTTGAGTTTGTTTATTTTTTTGTAATGCAAAATATTTTAAGGATTTTAAACTTCTTTGCCCAGGTGCTAAACAAGCTTCCTAGCTTAATTTTCAGTTTGTGTAAACAATTTCCATTTCTTTTACTTTACTTTTTAAAATTCCTTTTCTAAATTCCAACATAAAGGTACCAATTAGTTTGAATTTGGAAATGTTCTTCTTTTTCTATTATGAAATTCCACTAATTTTGGTTACAATTTTGCCAAACAAATTATTTTTTATTAATTCATATTCGCAAATAGATTTTTGTCAGCCTAAACAGTTACAGCTCTAAAGAAACCTTTTCAACAGCAATTTGGAGTGAGAAATGGTTTTCATAGTTACTTATTTGAAACCATTTGTTTTATAAAAAATATTGATATTCTATTCAGCTGTGAAACAAAATAATAGCTTAAAAAATCTGTTGCACTTTATAAGTACACACGTTGTTCGTAAATTGTATAATCAAAACGGTTTGGATAACATTGTTAAGTAAATCATTAAGCTAAACATTAATACTAGGGTTTGGTTCTTGTTCGCATAGTTCCTGATCCTAGCCCACGCGTCCAGACCACTTACCGTCGGTCTCCCTTGAGGCCACCTCGTCCTCCGCCTCCTCGGCCGCCGCGAGTGCCTGGTTTCGTTGTCGTTTGAGGAGCACTGGTGGCTGCCGGGGCAGGAGCTGTGGTCGCGGGGCCCTGGCCAGCGGGAACGCCTGAGGCGGCGGCCACCACGGGTTGCGGAAGGCCAGTAGAGCCGCCCTTTGCGGGCAGACCTGCAGCACCACTTCCAGCCGGAAGTCCTGTCGGAGGAACTGTTGCCAATTGGCCACCAGGATTGGCCACCGCCTGCTGCTCCACCCGCTTCGGCTCGCTCATGTTGAGCGTCTCGTTGAAGATCATGCAGTATTCACCGATCTTGAACACCTCGCCGTTCTTGCCGGAGTACAGAGTCAACGAGTGCCTCCAGATGGAGGCGTATCCCTTGGTCAGTCTCACTATATCACCGGGGGCTATCAGCTTGCCCGGCTCGTCCCAAATCGAGACATTTATGCAGGCCGTGGGATCGCCCACCTAAAGGAATACAATTTGGATTTGAAATTTTTTGAATCCATGTGGTAAATGAAAAAGTTCAACCACCTTAAAGTTCCGCACTTCGCGGTTTTCCTTCGTCACGGTGGCCACGCCCACTTCCAGGACGATAAAAATCACATTGATGTTCTTCAGGCCCGGCTTGATGTCCTTGATGGGAATGCAGTCTACGTTGTACATGGCAAAGTGGTAAAATGTTTTTCAAAAATGCAAAAAATATATTTTGTTTTGGCGTCGTCTTTTAGGGATGGGAGATAACGATACTAGTGATGTGCAGAATGAAGAAAACTAAAGATGAAATAGGCTATTCACACTTGCGTCCCATTTCGATTAACAATTTTCTTGTAGCGCTGGTTTTAAAATTTTAGACATACTCAAAAATTTAGTTATATGTTAAGAAAACGTTATATATTAAAACTACGGTTTTTGTGACTAACAGGCCAAAATGGGCAGTAGACTTTATTCCCGTTTCTTCTTTATAGAAACTATAAACGTATTTCAGAGGCGTAGGATTGGTGCTTTAATAGTTATAAACCTAAAACACAAAACACCTAAACACAAAATTTGTTATGAAACCCCCTCAACCCTGTGATGGCTACGCTAATGGACTACAAATAATGCTTTTTATTTTATCTCCAGCACTTAATTTTGTTGGTATTACATTTTTTAATTTATTACCAGATAACAAGTGACGACGTATTTGACTGGAGCGCCAAAGCAATGGGGACTTTAACGAGATCATGACTCACATAAGAAGATATCTAATAATTTGTACCGCAATAATAAATTTATGGAATAGGGTTATTGACTGCCAATATCGACCTTTAATTAAGAGTATTTACTTCAATAACCACTGTGGAACCAGCTACCAAAGAATTCGAAAAATATAACGCAACGCAATTTAAAAAAAAAACTCATTCAATAATACATAAGTAAACAAAGCGACCTTAACTCTAACTATACCCCAAGTAAAAATAATAATAAATAACTATTAAATTCTGTTTTCAAAATAGCTTGTCCTTTGTGACTAGTGCAATAAATTATAATTTTTAGTCTTGTTATTAAAAATAATTAAAAAAATAAAAACAAACAATGTACTGTAAACTAAGTTATATTAAGATTTTATGAGTGTGGGAACACGAAATAAAAAAACCAGGTTTATTTATTTTGAAAAAAGGTGAAAATAAAACCATTTCGAACACAACTTTTTATGGTGTGAAAATAATCTAATTTATACATCTCATGATTTTGTTTTTTTTTTGATTTGAAGATATTTTGTTTCTTAAAAAGTTTTGCGAAGTGTTAGAGATAATTAATGCTGATTATTATATAATCGCTTTACATTTTTAAAATTAAATAAGGTCAACAAAGTTATGAATGATTGTTATACGATATTGACTAAGCTCTTTAACTAATAACAACCAAATGTGTCATATCAAATTTCTTGCGAAAAAATAAATAGGAAGATCAAATATGCTTATCAACTAAATTGCAGGGTCTTTAAAAAGCAGCAAATAAATTCGGGAATCAGTGCTTTATCAAGTTTCAACCTCAGCGGTTCTTCACAATGTTCAGATCCACGACAATATTTTTGTGTGCCTTTTTTGTACTGGATCTTAAAGGATCCTTGACAGGGGCCCAGGAGGGTAGGCGCTACGTATGTTTATTATCAGACCCGGCGAACCAGTGCAGTGCATACTGCGTTTCCGCTCTACAACCAGTGATCGATCATCTCAAAAAGGAGCAGCAGGATTGGAGTACCTGCGAAGTGAGGTCCAATGAGACTCTGGCGAAACTAGATCGTGTAGAAAACCAGGTGACGGCGACTCAACTGCAAATAGAAAGCCAGCTCACATCCCTTCAGGCAAATTTGACGAAGGGAATTCCACAGGATCTCGAGAAAAGACTAGACAGGATTGAAGGCAATCAGACAGCCGTAGAAAGCCAATTAAAGGCAGGACAAAAGCAGACAGAAAGCCAACTGACAGCTATTCAGAAAAAACTGTCTGAAATCGAAAGGAAACTTGTGCTGCAGAGGTATCAACAGATAGGATCGCGGTATTTCTACATTGAGCACAATCTTATTGTAAACTGGAGGACCGCCGAACAGATGTGTGTTGAGATGGGCGGCCATCTTGCTGCTTTCCAAAATGATCTGGAGTACAACGCTATAGCTGGGCAATTAAAGAAGGAAAATTACTGGACGGGTATCAACGATCTGGCCAAACAGGGTGAATTCATATCCTTGGCCTCCGGCAAGAGAGCTCCCTTTTTAAGGTGGCGTAAGAACGAACCCAAGTATAACAATCCCACCCAGCACTGTGCCTATATCTACGGGCATGAGAACATAATGATAGTCTTTTCTTGCACCACTGATGTTATGCACTTCATTTGCCAGGCAGACAATGCGGTTTAGTGAGTCAAATGTAATAAATACGGTTTTTGCCTACTTGTGACTATTGTCGCAGAGCTTATATCACACCCGTAAGATCCTAATAAAGATAAACAAATGGAGATATGGACTTAATTTCTTAAAAAAGATAATAGGGGGTTCACTATGAAGTAAGATTTAAAGCAATCTTACACAATTTTTTGCTGTGAAAGTGGACGTTATAAAATTATATTGTACTTGTATTGATGCACAATTACCCCGAATTTTGTCCGAAAACATTTCTGAGATTTTGTCTATAAATTATAACATGTCAAAACATAGTTCGGATCGCAAAACAAATATTTACAATTTGTTTTGAAAAAGCACGGTGGATAATTTTGTGTAGCTTGTCTGTCACAATAATAGGTTTACTCATATCTAAGTGCTTTACTTGTTTGCTTTTCTTAAAGCCCAGATCGTAAAAACAGATGTGAAAAATGAGAAAAATGGTACTAGCATACTAAGTCAGATACAAATTGTACCACAAATGGAAAATTAACAACCAGTTTTTTTTAGGGATATTCGACTATATAACTATATTACTCGTTAACAGGGAAAAAAAGATCCTGAAAATTTTAAAATTATTGGAGATATAGGCTTTAATAAGTTTATGTTATATTAAATGCATTGCAAGAGTATACAATATTATACATTCAAAATATATTTACCTTGGGCTGCTTAAGTACTGCACATCTCTAGCCCACATCTGACTGTAAAACTATCGATATTTCCCGCCGATATCTGTGGCATTCCCCTTGCCACCCACCTCTGGTCACTCTAATCAAAACAATAAAAAAACAAGGGTTTTTGTGTACGAAAATCTAAAGACTTTCTGTGCGCTTAAAAAATGGCCTTGGAGTCCGGCAGCAGCAGCTCGGAGTCAGGCAGCTCCTCCACCAGTGGATCCTCCAGCGGTTCGGAGACGGGCAGCAGTTCGGACACGGATTCCAGCAGTGCGACGCCCGAGGAGAAGCCATCCACGAATTCATCCGCCAAATCTCAGACGCAAACGACACAACAAACGAATTCAGGGAATGCACCGAGAAGAAAGCCTGCTCCTTCAGCGGCGGAAGAGAAATCCAAGGCAGCTGCACCGTCCTCCAGCAAAAAGGTGGCCAATCCCCCAAAAAGCAGGCTTTCCAGCGACGACGACGAGGAGGAGGACTCTGCGCCACCAGTCAAGAAGAACGCCCGCTCCCTGGGCAGTTCCACGGTTACAGCGGCAGCTGCAGCCTCGTCGGCCAAAAGGAAACCCCCTGCATCGGCCAACAAGCCTAGCAATCCGGCCAACAAACCCAACAGTGCAGCCAACAAACCCAGCAATCCTCCCCAGCGGTCGACAAACAACAACAACAACACCAACAGAACCCTGGAGAATGGCGAGGGCAAGCGACCGTCGCTCTCCTCCTCGTCGAACAGCACGGATGACTCCATGAAGATCGTCAAGAACGGTCGCAAGGTTCCCCTGAAAATGGCCAGCACGGTAAGGCCCAAACAAGTCAGGGGAAAACTGCCGCCGGCCAAGAAAAACGGCGGAGGACCGGTGATCAGCAGCGACGGGAGCTCGGGATCGGAGAGTGGCTCCAACTCTGGCGACGATTCAAGCTCAGGGAGCGACTCAGAGGGCACTGACTCCAGCAACTCCTACAGCTCACAGCCCGTCAAGGGGGCAACCAAAGGTAAACGGGGACCACAGATGGTTGCCATCCATGATTTATTGTCACTGTGAATAAATGTATCTAATTATACTTATTTTCGTTCCCATAGGCAAACGGAGCGGAGCAACTAAGATCCAAAACTCAGACAGCGAAGAGGAGCGCAAAGACAAGGCCAATCCCATGAGGAAACTCACAAGGTCGCTCAGCATGCGAAGGACCAAACAGCAGCCCAAACAGGATACGTATTCCGAATCCGATGGAGATCTGGAAGATGACAAAATGCTGATATCCAAAAGTCCCGCCAAAAAACCAGCTCCCTCGAATTTGAATGCCACCAAAAGCAAGGTGAAACGAGAATCCATTGGAATCAGCAGTGGAGTCCTGAGCTCCATTAAGTCCCGACCCGTGTCACCTATAACGCAAACCGAAAAGAAGTGTCCCATCGAAGGCTGCGATTCATCCGGACATCTGAGTGGCAACTTGGACAAGCACTTTCTGTCGGACGCCTGTCCCATTTACCACAACATGTCCGCCTCCGAGTGCAAAGAGCGGGCTAACGAGAGAAAACTGAGGAATGAGCAGCGGCTAAAGATGCCGATCAACATTGTGACGGCCCCAGGTAATCAGCTCACCAATCTCAAGACCCTCTCGCCCGAGCAACGCGAATATCTGGCCAAAATACGCGAATCCAGAGCTAACTTTAGGCCGGCCAATAGCAATTTTCTGGACTCCAAGGTGAGCCTATAGTTTTATAGCTGACACTACATTTGGGATTGGACTGACTCAAGTCTTAAAACAATTCTTTATACTGAAAGAACTACTACTCATTCCATCTTTGATTCCTCAGGTGAAGCTCGAAAAAGACGTCCAGGACGAGGACCGAGAACCAAATCTGTCTGGCCTGGTGCCCGACTATGATCTGCAATTGTTCCGGGAAGCGCAAGCTCAGGCCTCCGAAAGGATCGAAGACGAACTCAAGGACCTACCTGTGGGCAAGGGCATAAAGTAAGCATTTTAAAACATCTGCAGGTTTTGAATATATTTTAACAACTGCTTCTAACCACAGGTATATCAGCATGGGCAAATACAAGATGAAGGTATGGTACCAATCGCCGTATCCAGACGATGCCGCCCGCCTGCCCAAAATGTATATCTGCGAGTTCTGTCTGCGCTACCAAAAATCAG